CCCCCCCCCCCCTCCCCCACCGTATCGCTCAGGAGCATCTTAGATGTAGGTAAAGTAGGCACCTGCAGCCTCTCTGGAAAAGCCGAAAGAGTGAGGCCATGTGAGAAGCAGCTCATTTACCAACTGTCACCAGCCATTTGGAACACCTGCCCAATATGACACTTGGGGGTGCAGATTTGAAATCTGTGTCTTGAGTTCACCAGGGCCAGACTCCTCTCGGCCACCACCGTAAGATCGCTCGCACCCAGGCTTCAAATGCTCTAGGGGCTGACCAGCCACCGACGACTTCATAGCACGCCTAGGACGCCTCCTCAAAGTAAATGTCACAAAGACGCATGGCACGTACCGTAAATCAAACCATCTCAAAGAAAATCTCCAAACACGTTCACCCAGGCATTTTCATTTGATGTGGTTAACAAAAACGCTTATTTACAGGAAGATGTGCACAGAAAATTCTGAAGGATGGATATTCTGAGTAACCAAACTGTCATCTCCTATTGTAGGACCAAGTGATAGTACAATTCGTTTTTTGCATGCAGTTATCCAAATTTGTCTACCATAAACGTTAATTCTGTACCAGTTGTCAAGTGCTTATTGAATTAACAAAGCTAAAGATCACACGTCCAGCGCACTGGACACTGAAGGGCTATTCCAAAATTACACTGAAAATTATTCTGAAAAAAGAGATCACCCCGATCATTCAACAACACCGAAGTGGTGCAGTGCTCATGTGCCAGAGCATACAAAACCGTGTGCTCCCCACTTCTGATGGAACGTAACAGGTGAGGTAAGGTGCAGACATACAAAACAGGTACAATGCCAGGCAGCATATGCTAAAGGTATAGAGACAGGAGGTGCTTCCCGCAAGCTTCGAGGAATATACTCTCGCGAGCTGCAGTGACGAGGGTTTCATGGAAAAAGGGATCTCGAACAGGACCTTACAGAAGGATTCAAATGAAAACTCAAAGAGCAATTCAGAAAAGGGAAAAGTCTGAGCAACACTGTGAAATCTGGCAGTCAGCACGTGTATCTGAGTAACAGTAAAGCAAACAGCCCAGCACTGAGTACAAAATCCTGTTCTTTTTTCTGGGGAACGGTAAAATGTACAGTGTTGGGGGGACGGGGAAGGGGGTGTGGGAACAAGGGACGAGGGGAAAGAATAGAGGCTCAGGGGCAAAGAAATTTGGGAAAACTAGGTTTAACAAAGTTAACAGGCACGTCTTCGTTGCTGGAGTTCTCCAAGCTCTTAACAAGAGCTTCCGCCCCTGGAGAAGAAATCTAGTCGTATTTGACCACACAATCCTTTTTCACTGAAGAGATTAATGGACAGCAAAACGCCTTGGGAAACACATTTAACAGATAACAAACGCAAAACAATAAAGGGCTTGAATGCCAAAGGCCAAGTGTGTAGTCTGGCCTCGGTCCTTCCAACAGGGCCAGGATTTTCCCCAGAACAGAGGAGGAACTGATGTACCCCTAAGTTTCTACACAGAACTCAGAAGCAGGTGTCGCTGCCACCACATCTCCATCCACTTGTCAGAGTCCCCAGCGGTCAGCCCCCTTCTTCTGCGAGCACCGGGACAGTCAGCAGTGGCTTCCTGGTGATCTGCGGGCCTCGGACACACACCTTCCCATAAAGTGACGCAGGGACGTCTATGAGCAACGGGGAGCACTTGACAAACCCAAGCACAGCATGAGAAAAAAAGCAAGTGTGTTTAAAGTCTTGAGTGGTATAGAGCAGCTTTTTCAAATTAGAGGTGGCAAGGCATTTGTTACACACACAGTTCAAGGGGCCGTAACCAGCATTTCTTTAGAAAAAGAAAAAAGACAAGCAGATGCGTCCCAGGCACAAAGGGCAAGTTTATGAAACGTGTGTCTGTTACACATACTGTATCGACCTCTGTGTTCCGGACTGCGGTTCAAATAGATTTCCTCCTGGGATCACAGCTAAAAGGTCTGAAAGTCACTGCTCCACAAGACGGGAGAACTTAGGACAGAGACCGAAGGCTGCTGCATGCCCCCAGATGGGCGGAAGACCCTTTTAAGACAGTGGGAGAGCAGCAGCACAAAGAATCATCGGAACTGGGGCACCTGGGTGGCTCAGTCGGTTGAGCGCCCGACACCTGACTGCGTGCGGCTCAGGCCACAATCTCCCGGTTCGTGGGATCGAGCCCCAGGTCAAGCTCTGTGCAGAGCCTGCTGGGGATTCTCTCGCTCCTTCTCTCTCTGCCCCTCCCCAGCTTGTGCACACACACTCTCCTTTCTCAAAATAAACAAATACACTTAAAAAAAAAAAAAAAGAAGAGAAACGTAAAAACCATGACGAGACCGTGGAGAAGGGAAATCACTGAAAACACTAAGGAATTACACTGGTCATTTGGGGGGGGGAAGCAGCTGTCATCATAAGCAGGCAAACCACGAAGTGGCTAACGGTCCACAGGGGAGGCAAGGAGACACATTCAGGCTGAGACGAGTTTCAGGAGAGAGGAGAGGACATCCACACAGAAGTACCAAAAAAAGCTCTCCCACACCACCTACTTGAAACAGGTCCCAAACGTTGCTTTAATTTCAGTCACCTCTGACAATACCGTATTAATTCTCTTTCAGTTAAACAATGGTTTAAATTTCTGCTCTGTCCGCGACCAAGTGGTTATGACTCTAAAAAGCACATAATCACACTAAAGAACCAATACTGTCAGTTAGTCTCTGGCTGTTACATTATTGACCATCCCAAGGGCTTCACTTTGATTTAGCATCTGATGGAGAAGTACAGCCGGGTCTGTCATCTGGCTCTGCGTGCGCGCGTACGGGGACCGCGCCAGCCCAGGGATGTATGGGCCACATGTGCCCTCCCGCACCAGCACCAGGAGAGCGCCAGGCCAAAGGGCGCCCGTCAGCCGTGCACGGTCCGTGCCCCCCCCCTGTGATGCAGCCCAGTCGGCTCAGGGGCCCCGCCGATCCAGAAGAGGGCACCAGGGAAATGGCACAACTCCAACAGATCACTTTAGCCAGGACTGAATCCCCAACGTACACCAGAATAGGCATAATTAAACGAGGCAGTGTGGACTTAAAGGTACAATGTCATCCCCACCAGGCCCTTGATGGAGGGAGTTTTGCTTTACAGAAGCCTTTTTATGAAGTAAATTACATTAATTACCAACGTTTAAAAACATCCAACATTTAAGGGTTCTGAATCTCTGATTTATTAGGCAGCACGGAAATAACAGGTTTAGATTATTTTACAAAAAAGAGCTCAAGCTGCTCATAAACAACCACGGGGCTTGCTGGGGTGGGGACAATTCTTCAGACCACCGCACAAGGACACAAAGACTCCTCACCCTACACAAAGTCAGCATGAAAGGGCACACAGACAAGTTGTTTTAAGACAGAAAACTGGGAAATCCACATACTAAATAAGGTGTCCACAATGACTATAACGCATCCCTTAGGGGATAAGTATGCATTTGTAGGAAGCAAAACAAAGCTTTCCACAGAGAAACCACTTTCACGAGATGATTACGTGGACCTGCAATGAAGAAAATACATTTCAAAAGATGGGTTCAGACTTGCACTAAGTTTCCACTGAAACACTTAAAAATAAGACGTTTCTCTGTTATCAAAAGAATTTTTTTAAAAACACGTCATGGATCAATTTCAGTAGACGTCCAAGTCCCATTCAAAAACGTACATGTGCAAAGAATACATATGAAACACCAAAAGTTTGACAACAGAAATACTATCTGGAACCAGCTAGAACAGGCCAAGCCAAGTTCGTGTTCTGCTTCAGGGCATTACATTAAAGTGAATCTCATTCTCACTATAATTTTTTTTCTTTTTAACCTTAATCACCAGCGGCTGGGCAACTGAAATGGACATGAGAACTATATAAATGTCAGAGAAATATGTAAACCTCATTAATGTTTCCAAAAATTCATTTAGAGATAGAAACAGGTCCAAATAGATGCCTGTCTAAATGTACTGCAATTACGTTACAATTATTTTTCCAAATACACAGATATGCTCTGTCTTTTCTCAGCTCATTACTGACTCAAACAATTTGCCCTTCTGGGATCAATTGTTTGCTAATAAATAATTGTTTACAGTCACAAAATGAAGTTAGGAGGTTTTCTTATTAGTTTTCCTTCTGCACCCTAATAAGATTGAAAACTAGCTGATTCCCAGGAGTCTAACCTTAACCTCGCTTTGTTGAACAGCCCAGGAAACGATGAACCATCTGCTTCGGAAAATAATGGACGGCCAAGAGGAAATACTGTTTAATTGTAGATTAACCTCCTCATGAGGCAGTCTGAAGCAGCTTTAGAATTAGCAACTACAACCAGCAAAAGAAACAAATGGCTCAAGAGCCTTTTCCTCCACCATTTAAGGTCCAGAAAGAATGCAAAGGGGTTTTTATTACCTGTGTTTATTTACAAACATGTTATTTCCACAGTGGAAACAAAAATTATCAAGGTCAAAACTGACTCTCAAAAGTGCAATCACTGCCCTCCAATTTTGTTTGCCCGAATACCTTTAATGCAGCAAACCATCAACCGTCTCATGCACTTAAGAGTGTTCGGTTTAAAAGAAAAAAAAAAAAAAAAAAATCAATAAAAACCACTTTTCCATTATTTTCAGGTTCTTATAATATTAAGATTAATATATTTCCCTGGTTTCTTTGTTATTAGTAATAAATCCACCATTAGGCAGTACGAATTGTTTTATTATCATCAACATGGCACTTAAGTAAATGAAATCTTGTCAAGTACATGGTGACCTACAAGTTCAAAAGAAAAAAAGAACAGCATGAGATCAAAATGGCCGGCCAGGACAAGAAACACAAAAGTGAGAGATTAAATGCAAACACAGCCCTTTATCCAACAGGCTTCACATACTAAGTCTTTTCTAAAGTCAAATCTGTAAAAATATGCATCATATGAAATATTTAACACTCTGCCCCTTCTCTGGGACTCAACCAATTTAGCAAGGGTGTTAAACCATTTTAACTCAGAAAAGTAGAAGAATCTTGAAAACATTCAGTCATTCTATATTTACTGAGGCCTGGGTAGAGAGGGACAGAGAACAGGGACAAAGACCCGCGGGGGCAGGTATTTTACGGTTTAACAAGCGCCTAAGTATCAGTTTTCCCTTAGGCCTGGTACAGGTGATTAAGTAAAGAGCTCTGCCCTGTTGGTACCAAAAAAAATGTCAATTGTTCCTCTCTGTCAACAGTTACAACCAAGAGCCAAAGACAGCTATGAAAATTTCAAAACTACGGAAATCTGCTATTCCAGGCAAGGCCATATTATTCTGGGTTTCCAGTAAGACCTGAAGGTCATTCACTTTGTGTAAATATTAAAGGAACAACCTCGGTGGAGAGGAAAGATTTTTGGTGGTTCAAATTCTCAAATATCTTAAACAGATTTGCTAAAATTAATTATTCTTGAATTCCTCAACTTAATTTTGAAGCAGTGTGCTAGTAATAACTCCAGAGATTCAAATAATAGTGCCTATTCAAGAAGAATGAGAGTTTGACATTCTTCTCTACCAAACAACTGGGCACAATTTTATCCATCAGACGTCTATCAACCTACGGATATTGAAAGCTTGGGAGAACAAGATAAAATCAACTCCAACCCTACAGTCAGCTGTAATATCGAGCAGGCATCAACAATGCTATTCGTGAATTTAGAAAAATTAATAAATCCTGGGTTGAATGCAAGAAAAGGCTCAAATACAGGTGAAGCATACTCACTTGGGTTTTGTTTCGGCATCTGTCACTTGGCGAATGAAGATACCATCTTCAGGATGTTCCGTGTCATCCATTTCATACATATACGATGATGCTATTGCGAGCGTGGTCCCATCATTACTGAAGGCAAGCGATGCGATGCTGGTGGGGTACCGATGGAACTGGCACAATCGCTTTTTGTTAAACGGATCCCAAATGTTGACAAATCCATCAGAGCCGCCTAGAAGTCATTTCAAAAGAGGTAAAAGGGTTCTTAAAAAGCAGACACAGGGAAAAAAAAAAAAAAAAAAAAAAAAAAAAAAAAAAAAAAAAAAAAAAAAACCAGGACCTTTAACGGTTAATTTTTAAGATCACATGAGTTACATTTTCCCCACAGAGGATCACATAAAATTTCTGCTCCCTAAATATCAGAAAAAGCAAGCACAATTTTTTTTTAAACCCTGCCTAAGTATAAATGCCTCATGTTCAATTACAGCAAAATCTGTTATCTCAGTGATGCGATGCAGGTTCACCTGCCATCCCGTACCTGTAGCAAATGTATTATGGATGTTGTGAAAGGAAATGGCATTGACTGGGTAAATCTGCTCAATGTTATTCTCCTTTAGTCTGTGACACTTGAAGGCATACTTCTTCTTCTGCACTTCAGGGCTCGGGTCCAAGTACTCAACTGCCACTCGACCTTCGATGGAGCTTAATACATAACCCTGCCAAGAGGGAAGCAAAGAAGGACAAAACTGGTGACTCCACCTTCCCAAAACAAAGCACTGATTCCCAAATTCAACCTGTGCTAAAGACGGTTATTTCAGAAATGAAAGATAAGTACAGCCAGGTTTTAACCAGGTGTAGGTTTTAAGCTGTACTAACAAAGCTATGACCATTCCAGAACTTAGAGAACATGAATACCTGTTCTATAGAAAAAGAACAATAAAGCTATCACATCTAGTAACTTTTTAAAATATAGACAAGAATCCTAAAGGGCTTCAGTATCATTTATTCGTCCTGTCCAGAGGGGGCTCAAATGGGGCTCAAATGTGTTCCATCAGTTGGATATAATTTGCTATGCCCTGGGCCTCTCTACCTCCAACAACTGTAAGAAGGGGGATTCCTCCAGTGGGGGGATCAAAGATCTAAATGAGCTAGAATGCCAGCCTTCCATCTCAGTCATCCTGCCCCTTGCATTGAACTACAGCAAGCTGAGCTCACACATAAACGACACAGATTTTCAACAATGTTCAAAAGTGGGTTACCATTTCAAACCTTTTCTCACCTTTCCTTGAAATGACAGTATGTCAAAGAAACTGAAACATAAGATAAATAAGGAGTCTGTATTTTTTTTTTTTTAATTCTTCAAGGTATGAAAACAAATTATTCCTGAAGAACTACTTAGGGAGAAAAAAAAAAAAAATCAGTGAAATCTGAAACTTCCATGACCCACTAGAGATAGCCTAACAAAGTTTTAGATGTGACCTAAAAATGAGATTGATAAATGCAAGGATATTTTAATCACATGCTTAGATCTAGAAAAGTTTCACATAACTGCCATTCCTTATCTTCAATGGAAATTTACAATTTCCTGAGAAAAAGAACAGGGATCACCATTTAAGGCACTAGCCTTTTGAGATAAAGGGCCAAGAGAATAACCAGCATAACTGCATCCAGATCCTCAACCATGAAAGGACAGCAGAAGATTCCAAAGATAACTGCCGTTTTTAATGACTTTTCCTCTTATAAAATTCTTACAGCAGCTGACCACACCACCAACTCTCCTTCAAACTTTCAGGATCTGAGGGGAGAAGGGGCTCAGTAATAAAGAGAGCAGTCTTGTTTAGCAGTGATGACAAGGGAGGAGAACCTGTATATCAAGAGTAAGTCATTATGTAAAGAGCATGGCCTCTCTAACTTCAGTGGCTTTTTTTTTTTTTTTTTTTTTTAAATCCAAGTGCTGCTGTCAGACTGCTACAACCCATTCAAAGGGGTTACAAAGAGGCCAAAAAAAAAAAAAAAGAGAAGAGCCAATTCCATAATCCTGAGTTTCCAGACCTAAGTCTGAATTCATGGGTTTGGTGAATGGAAATGTCTGCAAAACCCTCTTGGATTACCGTATACCTGTCAAGCATCCTGGACCAAGGAATCAGAAGACCTCTGTTCCAACCATGGTAGATGATTTGATTTCTCTGAACGTCAAGATCTTCTCTGAAACTGGGTTAACACACTACTCTGTAACACAAGGCTGCTGAAAACGTAACAGCAAATTCTAAACCACTACTGATTACAAACAAAAGAGAAGCGAAGCTTTAAAATGCAATGACCAGTGAGATCCTCTTATTTTCAAACTGAAGGAAGGTGGGGGGAGGGGGGGGACAGGTGCGCACCTGCTTGTTGGGAAAAGCCCGTATGCAGCGGGTCTGGTACTTGAGGCTGGACTCCCGGCGCTGCTGTACGTAGCCCATGTTCCGCAAGTCCCACACCAACACCCTGCGGCCTGCAGTGCCCACAATCAGCCGGTCTCCAGACACTGAGAGGGTATACACCTTTCAAGAAAGACCAAAACTCACTAAAATCCACCTATTTGCCAGAAAATGATATTTGGTCCCCCAAAAGTCCACTAATCATAAAACCATAAAAAAGTTAGCCGATCAGGTTCTCAAACACCGGAATTAAATTCTAAATATTACAGCTTTACAAACCAAGTAATTTGCACAAAATCTTCAACCCAATATATTCTTAGTACTTAGCGAAGTATTGTATTATGTACATTCTGCAAAAACACTTTGGAAGATTTAATTCTCTTGGTGATAAAACAAATTATTTAACAATTTTTCCAGTCTTCTTGTTTCATTTAGTGACAATATAAAACCGTAAAAACTACTCAAAAAGGAAACAATAAAGCCATAAAACAATTCAAGAAACCTCTCCACAGGCATCTAACTTTTCATAAGATAATCATTTTCAAAGTTATTTTTCTATGACCACCTTTTGAAAAAAGATTTCATGTTTGACTCTAAAAATCTTGATTTTTCTCAGCTGTCACACTGAATAAAATTAGGCCTTTCTAAGAAGAATGAAGAAGCCATCGTCAATTAGCTGCTTAGTTGCTTTTTGTGGCATATGAACTCAAAAGACGAGGACAGTGGTCTGGCATGTGACAAAGCACATTCTTGTGCCCTGATGTCATACTAAACACTCAAGACAAAGTTCATCATTAGTGAAAATTTAAAAAGCATTTTCTCCCCTAAAAGCATCTATCCCCCACCCCCATCATGCCCTTTTTGCAGTATTACAACGACTTTCGCAAAAAATTCCTTTATAACAAGTTACAGAATTTCCTGCAAGCAAGCATTTCAAGTGGTTTATTTTCAAACATGCTATTTGGGGACCAAACAGATAGCAAACTGATGAAAAAGGCGGCACAGTGTATTTTCCTGATCACGTTAAATAATTTTTTTAAATCTAGACTTTAGATATATAATTGTACTCTGGTTATTACTTTCAACTAATAAGCAACTCTAATTAAACCTGATTTAGTATTTTAAAACCTGAAGAAACACTAAAAAAATGAAGAGAACCCAGGCCCTGCAATGTAAGACACCTCTTTAACGTTCAGTGGTTAAAACACAAGGTTAGTAGCCACCAGTGTGTTAACTGCATACCACCAACCAAAAATACCAAGTTAGGTTTAACAATTAACAATCAAATCATCTCCACAATCTGGCCTTCAAATTCAACCAACTAATCTGACTAAGGGAAATTACGAGGAATTAGAAAGATTCCAAACAGTAGATTTAGTTAAGCACATTTAAATAAGAAAGATGTAAAGCTTTACCAGTTTCCTCACAAAACACATTTGCAGAAAACCAGAAATTAACCTAAGACATGTGAAACGCCAAACTTAAACAACACAGAATCCAGAAAGAGATCGATTTATACTAGCACGATCAGATTGGGAATTTTATCTTAAATCTTTACTATACAGGTGACACACAAGCTTCTAATAGGGCTTTCTATCCCCACTGATCGTAAATCAAGTGAAACCACTGTCAGGCCACTGACTAGGTCTATACATTTATCAAAGAAAGTATTAAAAAAAGTGACATAATGAACCTTGCTGAACCAATAAGCAGCTTGATTCAGTGTGGCTGTCCATTATACGATATTCTGTCTGCAATTTATCACAGCTCTTAACATGTTACATACAACCATAAATCAAAACTAGAAACAATGCAATTATTTTATTCTGAACAAAGGTCTTGCCAGGAGTAGATTCGACTGTGATGTGACGAAAATAATGGCTCTTTGGATGCACTACAGTATATAATGATGGCTAGCAGGAACTGAATAGTATATTTACACTAAGGAAATAGATTCAAGTGAAGGATACCTTTAAACTGCTAAAACAATCAATCTTTAAAATCAACTACCACCTGATAAAGGCTGATGAGGATACAGCAAGAATGCTCAATTACTTTCACTGTCCAGATGAAAAGGTTAGAATAATACACAGAGTTTCAGTTTTAAAAAGCTTCCCTCAGTACAGCCTTCAAACTACATCTATCAATAATAAAAATAAATACACAAATGGCAAAAACCAAGGAATGCAGGACACCTTTCTCACCTCAAGTGATAACCCATTTCACCCTCTTAACAGTCCGCTCAAATGAAACCTCGGGTCCTAAGTGAAAATGAGTGACACTCCATCCTACTCCCTGGTTTGGGCATGTCAAACCCAATTTAAGGCAATCCAACGGTCTCTGCTAAATGACTTCTCTGAAAAGGCACGGAGTTGCTTCTCAGTCCTGGGATTTAAAGCATTAATAATACACAGCAGTGGGTTTATTTACTAGTGCCATCTAGCACAAAGAGGACAACAGAAAAAAAAAAAAAAAGTTAACCCACACACCAAAATTCATTTCCTTTTGCTCAAAACATCTGTGTTGTAAAACAGACTCAATTAAGTATTCTATATGCCCAGCATGGGGTTTGAACTCACGACCCTGAGATTAAGAGTCGCCTGCTCTACTCACTGAGCCAGCCAGGCGCTCCTCATCAACTGGTAGTTAACCTTCAAATTCAACACCATCTTCAGCAAACGTGTACCAAGTCAAATCACCCGTGAGACTAAAATTCCTGTTATGAATGGAAAGAGCCTACCTTTTCAGGCTGAGAGAAGGTCCCTGCATTACAAGGAGTTCTGGGATCCCACAATTTAACCGTCTGATCCCAGCTTCCTGTAACCATCACATTCACTTCTGGACAGTATTCAACACATCTGATAGGGGCATCATGGGTTCCAACAAGATTTTCTACAGTGGAGGGGAGAAAGAGAAAAAAAAAAAAAAATCACCCACCTTTACTACCTCTCCTGAACAAAGATTCCTCAAGTGAATAGAAGGAAACATTCATTAAACTGTAATGAATCCGCTTCCACCAACTCGATGAAAACGTCCGCACACAGAAAAATGTCTCCATGACTACAGTCATCCATTCCTCTGTTCACCTTACAATGCATAGTTTGATTCACTGGCATGACACATACCAAAGGCTGACTTGAATTTCACATTGCATTAAATGGGTGGCATAGCTGTTATTTTCCTCACTTGATTCTAGATTCCTTAAAAATCAGAAACCTTGTCAAACTCTACAGTTCTGACTTTACTGCAGGTTCTGGTACGTGGAGATACTCAAATATCTGCTGAATGAATGAATGAATGAGTAGAAAACTCTGGTCTTCTGGAACTGGATAAAACTTGCTGCATTAGATTAATATTTGTAAGAAACTTATTTACGTGGTAACACTATCATCTGAAAGCTAAGGGATAAGGAAGGCAGAGAGTCTCAGGATGAGTCCCCTGGCTTTCAAATGGTGGATCAAGTTTCCACTACACAATTTCCTTCCTTTCAATTTCAACTCTTCACCCAATCTCATTCATTCATTCAACTAACATCTGCTAAATGTCTAGTATGTGCCAAAATCTATACCACATGCTAAGGACACAACAAAGATTATGTGGTCCTGATCCTCAAACAGAAAAACCACCTATTTAAAAACATATCACTGACACACACAAAAAAAATTCCTCATGAAGTTCGGCCTCCTGCAAATAAACAGCTAATTCCCTTAATTATAGTCTCCATATCAAAAATCTTTGTATTTCAGTGTGTTTTTTCTCCGAAGTTTTCCAACAGAGAGGACCCAAACCTGTAAGCTGACTTACTGTGTGGAATAAGCTGCTAACAAACAAAACCAAACATCTGCAGTTCTAAGTTACATGACAAGGGGACTTTCACGAAATATCCTCTTCTGAGTTGTTTGGGGTTTTTTGACTCAATATTGTGCCCATCCTCTTTCCATCCTCCCACTGTCCAGCTCACCCTCATGTAGTCATATCTTTGTACCTCGCCAACTGCTTCAAGTACAACTCTACCTAACAGATGCATATACAAAAAAGACATTTTTTTAATGCTCCAAGAGCTCTGTGCATTTAAGTTCCATTGCACTTCTGCTCTGCTCCGAAGTTACCATAAAAAATTGAGTAAGTCATTTCCTATCTGCACCTTAATTAATTTCTTAATTTATTCAGTTAATTTCTTAAATTAACTATAAGAAAATGTGTCATTTTATTACTCATTCACTAAATGCAACTCAGGCATATTCTAGGCTAAATAATCACACAAGTGGAATGAACGTAGAAGCTGGAAATGACTGGCTATTTTTACATCTAGTTTTTAAAAACTTATTTTCCTTCAGTCTGAACCAAAATAGCTTCAGAACAAAGAACACTCAAACATCACCACTTTCCTGGAAAATCCCAATGTACAGGAGACTACTGTGGAATCCAGTCCACTTCTGAGGACAGGTTAAAGTCATATCCTTAAGGGCAACTTCATGTAAAGACTTAGAATGGAGATCCTAATGGAACTCAATTTACTGAGAAAGTAAATGCATGGTATTTTGTGATCAGTAACTTACGGTTATCATTTTTTAAAAAGTCCTAAATTTAAGCCACTTTTACTTGTACCTAAACAACTTGGGAACTAAGCATTCAGAAGCCACTTTTCCTAAATAAACATTTACACTTTAGTACCCGAGCTGAGAAAACAATAAACTGGTAGAAATGTGGCCATATTACCTTGATCCGTGTTCAAATCATGCATTTTCAATTGATGGTCTAACCCCCCGCTCCAAGCATGCGTTGGATCCTACAAAATAAAAGTTTCAAGACGTTTAAAAGTTATAGACATTTACACAGTGTTTCAAAATTCCGGTTCCTACAGCCATCTGTTCACTTTATGTTCAGGATGTGAGCTCTCTCTCTCTCACATACACACACACACACAAAACCCCAAGCGCACAAAAGAAAGCAAAAACTACATCAGCAAACTAAGGAGAACTGTTTCAGCACATTGGCTGAGATGAAAACAGGCATTTCATTTCTATCTCCTAGTGGGGGAAAAAAAAAAAAACCTTCCTTTTTATAAGGCAACCAAATTTTACCGTCTGGTGGCAAATTTCAAATACAAGTGTCATGTATCCAAAAAGTTTGCAGGGTTACTCCACTGGAAAGGAGACCGAGTTTCCGACTTCTACATAACCCCAACGCCAAAAGTTAAAGTAAAAAACGGTATTTGGCTCAAGACGGGTGTTCAGGAAAACGTTAAGAGCTACCCGAATGCCTACGGACAAAAGCTTCTACCCAGTGCTGTTAGAAGGACGCTATGAACACAGGATCCCCGAAAACAAAGAGGGCAGGTGCGCGAACTGAGAACACGTACGTAGAAGGCACAGTCCAGGACGGCGCCGGTGTGCTGGTACTTGAGCCGCATGGAGTTGGCCGGCACATCGTAGAGGCGCACCGACGTGTCCCAGGAGGAGACCAGCAGGAACTGGGACGTGTTGGGGCTGAACTTCACCGAGGAGATGCCGTCCTCGGGTGGCTGGTTCAGTTTGAACTCGTTAGAACCGGTCATCTACGGAACAAGCGACCAGTCAGTCCCCAAAGGTCCAGGACGGGGTGCTGGGCTGGCCGAGCACTGGGGGGAGGGGGGGGGGGTCACGGTGAAGGGGTGCCTTCCCGGCAAGGGGCTGTCTCACCGGGTAGGGAACTAGCGAACGTAGGCTACCGGGCGTCGGCGTCTGCGCCTGCGCGGAGCGTGCGCGCCCACCGCGGTCGGGATTCACCCGCTCCTCCCCCGCCGCCCCCGCTCAGCGCCCCAACCCGCCCGACCCCTACCGGCGCACCCCTAACTCCAGCCCCCAGCATAGCCCGCCGCGGGCTCCCGCAAACCGGCCCCTCCGCCGGGCCTAGCGCCCCAGACGCTCCGAAAATAAAGAGCGATGGAAGCGAAACGAGCTCCCTGCGGACGGCTCTGGCAGCTCCGGACCTGGGGAGTCCCCGACGGGTCCGTCCCTGCGCCCAGTGGCCTCGCCCCGCTACCTTGGGCTCCCTTCAGAAGCAACTTGGCCGCCGCTCGCGGACGCGCCACCTCCTCGCTTCCCTCCGAGCACTCGCGGGCTGGGCGAAAGAGGCGGAGAGGAAGCTCCAGCGCATGGCTGCAATTGGCTAATTTCAAACGCCAACGTCTCATTCGAGGCCGCCAATTGGTCCGCTCCGAGGCCCGGCGTCGGTCAACCCAGTCATCTTGTTCCGGCTCAAAGGCAAACCACGGTTTTTCCGATCACGTGGTCTCCCTTTATCACAAGGCTGAGCCCCCGGCCCGTGAGGAAGGAGTGGAAACTACAATTCCCAAAGAGCATCGCGCCAAGGCTGAGCTCACGCTCTCTCCCGCCCTTGTGCGTCACGCTGGGAAATGTAGTTTCCCTGGGGCCGACGCCCTGCCGGTTTTCTGGATAGTAAGTGGGATAGATGCTCTTTCCAGTTTGACCCTTAGCCCCCCCCCCCGACTCGGTCTCTCAGACAAAAAAAAAAAATCCCATTTTGGTCAATACATCTATAGAAATAAATTATTTTCCCTTTCACTGGACATGCATATAGCCATGAAGTTAACCAAGAATTGGAGTGGAGAAGGAAATATTTGCCCTAAGCATTTGCATTATTTTGCCCTGATTTGTTCTCATTTTCCTGGAGTTTCCACCTGTGAACGAGGGTCTCACATTTCCCATTGTCTTAAGATCTATCGATATCACAGAAATTCACCCTTATTTATACTAGGCTTTATCCCTCCATTCCATCTTTTTTGCAAACAATTATTGAGCAGGCCTGGTGAGGGACTCTGGGAAGATGCATCAGTCACACAGTTCTTGTTCTTGGGGGACTCTGTCCAGAAGGGTGGACAGACTGGAAAACAAACAATTACTCTGCAGTGCATTAAAGTTCAAAAGCCTCTTTTAGACATATGTTTCAGCAGAGTCCAAAAACGACAGCTACAATGACAGCTTCTCCCCATCCACCTCCACCCCAAAAACTCCCTAGAGTTTCTGTTTCTAGACTCCTCCAGAAATAGGAGAATCAAGAAGGTTGCTTCTGTAACTGACATAATATCCATGAAAGAAAAGTAATTCTTAATTTATACCTAGAATGCTGTGACTCGATTACTCTTGAATACAAAAACTCACTGGCAATATTTACTTTAATCCATACTGCAACCGCTTTTTCACTGCCTTTTATGACACACACAAAAAAACTTACTTTCTTGTGTGATTTTCTATGAAGTGGAAGGAAATTGTTGGAGTTAAAGTGTTTAACTTTTAAGGTACACTAATAGAGAAAAAAATGTTGTTGGCCTTTACACATTCACATACCCTATTCAGGTGCACTTCTTTTTATGATTCTCAGCACAATAAACACACTCACAGTAACCACCCTTCTGCCCACTGTGCTGATATTACTCCTAAAAGAACAGATTCTTGCCCTCCCTCCTCACCAGTCCTCATACTTGGTTCTCTTTCTGTTCTCTCTCAACAAGTTAATGGTGAGGTTAAGAATTTTAAAATGCAGTGCCTTGCCCCCATTCTAACTTTGGCTAAATAATTTTATCTCCAAATAATTCTATTTGGTTCCCTCTTCCAGTTGTTTATTTAATTCTATTAGAGTTTCGAGATTCTGAACATGAATTATCTGCTAATAAAATCTAAGTGTATTTCATTATACAGTGTGTGTATGATTCAGGTCCCTCTGGGCAGGCAGTTGCAGCTGAACTCTATTTGAGTTTTAAGAACCGTCAATCTTTTAAATCCAGTTTACAGCCTGAAAGGAGGCTGATGATTTTGCTGATTATTCAAATGAATTGATAGTCTCGAGATAGGAGATCTGGCCACAATGGAGTCTTGAACATTTTAAATCCAAATTCAAGTCGTGTGTGTGTGTGTGTGTGTGTGTGTGTGTGTGTGTGTGTGTATTAACAATCAGTTACCTGTAAGAGAGAGGAATTCCTAGAAACTAATTACACTGTTGGATCACCTTGGACTGCTAATTTCTGGATTAGTAAAAAGATTGAAATAGCCACTATACGACAAACTTGAAAAGTGTCATCCTTGATATTTTAAGGGCAAAATCACTGCCATTAAGAGCCTAGAGTGGCTAGAGAAAGCCACTTCCTGTAACAGTAGTAAGCATAAGGAGGATTTAGTGAGCCAATGCTGTTAAAACCATCATTGCTTGACGAACACATAATCTATCGAAATGCAGACAATGATGATATGGATGGAATATTCCTATACAAGTAGTTCCTGGAGAAAATGGGTTATTTCTCCATGGAATATTCAAATAACAACTTTAAAGGAAAAGAAGAATTTAAAGGGGGTCATCTGGAAAGAAAAACTTCATGGAAATAAAATATGTGGACCAAATAAATTAGAAGAAAACGGATCCAGTGTGTCTTTTGTTTTCCCTCTCTGACTATACAACAGTCAGCAGAGTTCTCAGCAAGTTCTAGGGCTCAGTAAATATTTACTGTATTTAACTAAGCTGAAATGAAATAAGCGGACTAGAACAAACTTAGAATAGGCGGATGTATTCTTGGATAACATCCTTCTGACGTCATCTTGAAAGAGATTGTAATTTTCATGAGAGCTTAGGTGAGAGGAAAACAATGACCTCAAAATGTGGACAAGAGACCCAGCACTTCAGGCAGAATACTGCGGGTCACATAGACGGTTAATAGGTATCCTATATTTTCATAAAACGCTGATGAATTTCGATGCCTCTCGGCTCAGAGACCAGTCTATCACGCAAATGTTTTCCTTCCAGAGGGTGAGGTCCTACTTCCGCGTTGCGCACTTCCAGCACCCTTGCACCGACTAAGAGGACCTCAGGACCAGAGGCTGGAGGGCCGGGGAGTTCTCCCCACGTGACACCGAGCCACCCTCCTCCTCTAAGGTCCAGCCATCTTTTCCGACGTTTTACAAGGAGCAGGCGGCTGCGGTCAAACATTGCAAAACTCTGCTATTTACATGCCGCTCGCGCTGCTATTCTCTGGGCGCCTCGCCCTCCCATCCCGTGGCGCAAAAGCCTGTGGGCGTGCAGGCGGCGCGCCGCGATCCCTTTCAGCGCGACCGGCCAAGTGCTTGCCCTTGGCCCCGCCGTTCAGCCACGCACAATGAAAACTATAAACAACAACAATTTTTGAAAGTGCGGGGAAGCGCCTCTGCCTCCCGCGCTTTCTTTGCCGAGTCTCCAGCCTCAGATCCCTGCTCAGCCGAATCGTCTCTTTTCGGCGCCCGGTTCCCGCGCCGCGAGGGACGCTCAAGTGTGCCACCGGCTTCGGAACTGTGAGCGGCTGCAAGCCTGTCGCGCCAGGCTAAGGGACGAGCAAAGCGGGCTCTTTACCTGGTTCAGGCAGCGCCACCCCACCTGACCTTCGCCCTCGGAAGGAGCCTCGCGGCACGGGTTGCACGACGTCGCAGGGCGCCCTGTTGCGGACCAGCCCAAGGCGCTCCTAGTGCTGGGTAGATACCGAGTCCCGGGAGGCAGCGCTTCAGCAGTGAGGCTCCCGGCCTTTGTCCCTCTCCGCGCGGGCTCCGGAGCTGGATTCCCGTCCAGGTGCACCGTGGCCTGAGCCAGGACTCTGGGCATCAAGGGAGTGGAAGGGGGTGCAGCTCCAGCCCACGTGCCGCCTCGGCGGCGCCAAGGTCGCCACCTTTAACCCCTGACCCCGGTCCCACCCTCCACGTGGGGAGAGCCGGCCTCTGCTGTCGCACGCTTCCACCAAAAACGAAGAAAAGCCGCGCGTCAGCACGCTGGGCAATCAATCTCACCAAAGTTGGCAACGATGCTTAAAATGTTTTATTTTTTTTTTCCTCTTTAAAAATATTTACAGATCTGAAATCTCCCCCTTTCGCCCCTACCCATCCTCGGGACGAGGGAAACGAAAAGGGGCGTTGAGCTCATTGTCCAAAGCCCCCCGCTGGCTTGGCCGGCTGCGTGTGCATGTACCTACATACAGGTGTCTATATGGGGTGAGGAGTGTACCTGGCTTGGTTGGCGTTTTTCTGATATTTCTTTTCTACCGGTCACTGTCGATCTGGCCGAAACCCCCTTTCCCACCACCACCCGAGGACATCCCCTCCGACTTGGTTTTCAAAGAGTACTGGTTTTGGGGGGCGGGGGGGAGGGAGGCGAGAGCAGGCGATGTGGCTGGAGAAAAGGCCGATAAATACCCGAAACGCTCGAAACGAAAAGTAGGGCAGAGGCCATAAATAAGAGATAACGAATACACATGGTGTATTTCTTAATATTTCCGGCCGCAGCCCGCCCCGCGCCGGGGCCCCGGGGAGCGCGGCGCGGGGCTGGCGGCCGCTCAGTAGTCGAGCTTGTTGTAGAGGTTGTAGAGAGGTAAGGCCGAGAGGTTGCCGCCGGGGTAGTAGAGCGGCGCCGGGAAGGCGAGCGAGCGCGGCACCGGCACCCGCAGCAGCGAGCTGTCCCGGAACACCAGCGGCATCCCCACCAGAGTCTGCGCCGACGCGTGCGCCATGTTGGCCGCCTCCAGCTCGGCCGAGAGCTGCCGCTTCCACTTGTTGCGGCGGTTCTGGAACCAAGTCTTGACCTGGGTCTCGGTGAGCTGCAGGCTGGAGGCGAGGCAGGCGCGCTCCGAGCTGCTCAGGTAGCGCTTCATGTCGAAGGTGGACTCGAGCTGGTACACCTGGCTGCGCGAGAAGACCGTGCGCGTCTTCTTCTTGGCGGCGCCCGCCTGCCGCTCGGCGCCGCCGTCCCGCGGCCGCTCGGGCCCT